TCGATCTCGCGGGCGAGTTGATGTGCGAGCTCATTTATCTCAACACCCTTGTGGCCAGGTGTCCACCGCAGGGTTACTCTAAGTTGTGGTTGCGGGTGTAGGCGTCCATTAGTATATTATGTAAATGTGGCTACAATAGCCTGTATTGCATGTTGCGAAGTGCTTGGGCTGAGTCAGTGCTGAGGTTGATGTTGGGCGTTATTGTGCTCAGTGAGTAGAGAAGCTTCGTGTATGGCACATATAATCGTGAACGTGCGTTTTTAGCGTGGTGATGTTTGGGGGTTGTCAAAGGGCCCTTCCTTGTGTGTAATGGGTGCTGTCTCTCCTGGCGTACAGATTGTACAGGCGTATAATCCATTGTGAGAGCGTGCCTCGTCCGTGTATTATGCATGCTTCGTCTCTCCGGTGTTGTGTTCCTTATGCTGTACGTCGCCCTTCATGGAGGTGTCGCGTCACATTTTTGGGTATGTTGGGAAATACAATGTTACGGGGGAGGGGAAGGCCTTGGCTCATTGATATAAGCCCGATGGGGGTGATTCCTGCTTTTTGGAGGATGTCGCGTTCCTGCACCATATGAAAGAGGCGTGTATCTGCTTATCTTTGTGCTGTTGTGTCAGTTCGGCGAGGCTGTGAAAGAGGCCCGTGTGTAGAAGTCGTTGGTCTGAGGTGCATATAGGGAGTCCCAGGGCGGCTTTGTAAAGGTTCTTGAGCGCGTATTGAGCTAGAGCACGCTACGCCAAGCGAGGCGAGCCGTCGCGCACGCTCAGTGATGGCGTCGTCTGCCGAGAAGAAAACAGGGGGAGAAGGGCTGCCCTCATGGAGGGGAGGAAACGGCGTGTGGAGAGGAGGTTTGTGTAGGTTAGGTCAGCACGCCGAGCTCTGATTGGCTCTATTTGAAGGATAGGGGGTAGACCTCAAGACAACCTGCCTTGAGGTCTATCCACTGTCCTGTTGGTCATGGGCCCACGCCAGAGGAATTAACCAAGAACGCCGCTGAACTTGATTGGTTTTAGAAACTTAGTTGGCAACATTGGTCTTCTGCCACCGATCTCACGTTACCCACGGCGGAGTCGTTGGTGGAGTTTAGTAAAGTGTGCTCAATCTTTCTAGAAGACAAAGTCTGCGCATGACGTCATTAGCAGTGAAACTCCGACCCGCCCTTAGCGACAAAGACGCTGAAGCTCGAAAGGGAGTACGCCGCGAAGCCGTAGACGCGTTCTAGGGTCGTCGCGTGCTGGCGTCGCGCTCGCGTGAGACTCTGCAAGACGCTCTGGCGGCGACGTTGATGCGAGCTAGGTGGTGGCGCCGCGTGGATTCACCCAAGGGTGTATTGTCGGAGCGCGTTAAAATGGATTGCCAATTCGGTACGATACCTTCTCCAACTGCGATGGAACACTTGCACGGTCTTTTTTGGTTCAGGTAGTCACCCCTCAAAATTGCCGCGTGCTCTCGTTCGACCAAGTATATAATTCCCGTTGGCGAGCTCGAGCCCCAGGAGTTGGACAAGCTATTACCGGTGTTTTCGTTTGTGGCAAGGACGTTTAAGTACTTTAAGACCCGGCAAGACATCCCTCTGAGCGACGCTGGAAAGTTCAGGCAGTCCCAAACTGAATTGTGCACTTGGTGCTGTTCTTTTTTTAAATTTAATTTTGCGACTATCGACGACAATAACAGCTCGCTGGGCGTTCACAGACGGGACTGCTTGGGTTTGGTGAAACAATTTAAGCCTGCTTTTAAACAGAAATGGCGCCAGACAATACAAAGAAAATAGAAACTACTTTTGCGACTAATTAGGCATCTGCGCTCATGAAACAGTTTGGATCGGGAACGTAACTAAAAATAACTAGAGACCCGATTTACCGGAGTACAACATTAACAAAGAAAAGTTTAGCAGTGGTAATACGTAACACGTAAAAAGCTTCCCTGTGTCGTCTTCTGTGTTTCAAAAAATTAGGGTCGCAAATCACATCATAAATATTTTCTTTTCATTAACCATCTTTAGACTTTGTTTGACAAGTAGATGAGCAATGCTGTGGTCATCATCTTGGTCTTTTATATCTACTATCGCCTGATTTCGTTAGCGTGTACGAAGCCACGTGCTTCATGACACAGCAACCACTTAACGTGTTTGCGACACCTTCTTTATATCATGTATTGCGAAAGAGTGTTATTTAAAGTATTCCGATGGTCTGAATGACATCACCTCAAGTCAAACTCTTTTTAGTTCAAGCAAAACTTTGATACTGATGCTTCTATAAGTTTCCAAATGTTTCGTCAGAGGCGTATTGAAATCGATAAGAGCTACGTGCTAATGCATGTGTTTGAGTTGCGGAGCCAGTTACAAACCACCCGGTTCTTTGAATGTGTTACTGTATGTTCAGCACATTGAGGAAAAAGATTGTGGAAATTGAGTGTGAATGGGCCACGGTTATCTCAAAAAATGTTTTGTTATTACCAATTTGGCGTTTCCTTTGTGTCTATATTTCTAAACATTAATTTGGCTACAATCGCGTCATCCCTTTGGGAGAAACAGACCGCTACCTTTGCCGTGTCTCAAAAACAATTATAATCATTGCCTAGTTATTAAATGCTCTTTTATGCTTTGCTGCAGCTCATTTTTATCATACAGACTGTTTTCTTTAACGGTATATTGTTCGATCTTGTCGTGGTTGGAATATACAGTCGGAAGAAACTATTTACTTTGCCGATGTTCACTAATTCTACGACAGATCACGGAGAATAATTATTCGAAAATATGAAGATGAATAAACCGTACTCGGTTGAATGAATCAAAGTCTACAAAGAGGCCGAAAGGCATTCTGCAAAGAGGAAATAATGAAAAGTATGCAGTTGAATGAACCGTAATTGATTGAATTAATCAAAGTCTATGAAGAGGCCGAAAGGCATACTCCAAAGAGGAAATAATCGAAAACATGCAGATGAATCAATTATACTTGATGGGAAGAATCAGAGTCTACGAAGCCGCCGAAAGACATTCTCCGAAGAGAAAATAATCGAAAATATGCAGATGAATAAACCGTACTTGACAGAATGAATCAAAGTCTACGAAGTCGCCGGCGGCTTCGTAGGCTTTGATTCATTCGGAAAAGTACAGTTCATTCATCTGCATATTTTCGATTATTTCCTTTTTTGAAACAACATACGATGATGAAAGCGTCAGAGAATAATTTTATGAAGAACCACGTTTTTGTATTGTCTATGTGTATGTGTTTTTGATGTATTCGCTCATTCACGTCCGTGCGTAACGCCTAACGGCGCAGCAGGTATACATGCTCATAAATATATATGCACATTTTTTACATAACACACATAATGTATATAAAATTATTCTTAAGGTTTGCAATCGCACAAGCAAGTATAACTAATTCAGTTATAAAAAAAAATGTTGCCCTTGTTAATTAATACTTGTGCTGGAAGTATAAAATTTGTTTAGATGTCTGTAAACTTTTGTTTTTTTGAAATTTCAAAAAAGACGGTAGTAAAAATAGACAGCCGTATCAAACTGAAAAAATAAAATTACAAATCCTGTTGATGCAAAACTCAATTAGTGTATGAAGAATATAAAATGTGCTAAATTTAATACGTTACTCCTACCTTAACGTTTCAAAACCTTTCTGTTTTCGTGGGTTGTTATCGATATTCTAAAATATATATTAAAATATTCATGCGACTGAGAATGGTCAATTTTGTAATGCGATGATTTTTGTTCTCGTCGCTCTCTGGAGCACATAAAAAGTGTCATCCGACTTAGAGTTTTCAATCTGGACAGCGATTTACTATTTAAAATCTCTCCGCGTTCTTTTTTTATTTTTTATTTGGAGTGTATTGTTGTGTACTTAGCAAAAGGGACACGGAGTAGCATCAACATTCGAAGAACGCTGAGGCGTTCCGGTCGGTATCAGCTACTTCAAAAGGTGGCACAAATTAAAGCACTAAAAAGAGGTACCCGAAAAAAAAGTAGAGGTTTTTTTCAGACAAAAAAATAAGTCTTGCGCCACTTAATACTCAACTTCTACTTAAATGTTGCCCTAGCGGTCCGGACCTGATGCCAAAGTTTCGGAGATTTTTTTTTTTTTGTAATCTCATTTAAAAGTCATAAGTAGGGATGTCGCGAACTTTTGTCGAACCAGATTTTTTGGTCGAACTTTCGGGGTTCGACTGGGTCGAACCGGTCGACGAACCTTCGAACTTTTCACCAGATTCGACCGGTTCGACTTTGTGGACAGTGTGGCCAGACCTTGATACAAGCATGTCTAGGTTTGGAGAATTTCTTTTTTTATGCAAAGGGTTATTTTATTGTGTAAACAACTGCAATTAAAAGAAACTAATTCTATTCACTGAAGAAGTTAATAACTTAAATTTATGTACTCTATTGACTGAAATAGCCGATCAGCGCTGCACTTAATTCATCTCTTAGCCATTACCATCCAATCCGAAGCCAACTGGCCAGCCTGTCGCGCATGCGCGCACGAGTCGAACCTCAATACAAGGTTCGACGAACTTTCCACTAAAAGTTCGAAAAAGTCGAACCTGGTCGAACTCGAACCGCGGCCGGTTCGCGACACCCTAGTCATAAGCGATCTTGAGAAAATTTTAACTGTAAAATGGGGGCCTACGAATCCCACGAACGCGTGGAGATGAACAGCGTTAGCTGCCGGGAACGGGCCCCATTTTCCCATTGAATATCTCAAATATTCTCTTAACTGTTTTTTAGATAAGATGACGGCAAGCTCCTGCAACGTATGCATCTGCTCCGCATCGCTAGTGCTTTATTTCGGCGATGATCCATAGTGTATTTTTGCAGCTTAATTATCTCAATTTATCAAGAGATCCGAAGTATAAATACTCAACTTCGCATTCCATCCCTAAATCAAAATTAAAAGAAAAAAGAAAAAAAAAACTGGCAGGTACGTCGAAGAAGCACGAAGGAGTGTTTAAGCTCACATTGTCCGCGACAGTACAACAACCAGAGCACTAACCCTTTCGCACTTGTCTTCGACCTTGTCGCCATCTTCGAGGATGATGTTCACCACGGCGTACTCCATCAGGGACGCGAAAACGAACACGGTGCAGGAGGACATGAAGATGTCGATGGCCTTGATGTAGGACACAGGCGGCAGCGACGCCTGGCTCTTGGCGTGTTGGGTGCACAGTGTGAGCAGACTTGTGACGCCCAGCGTCACTCTGGCAGGCACGGCCTCGGGCTTGATCCAGAAGGACACCCAGGACATGATGACAATGAGGCAGGTGGGAATGTACGTGTGGAACATGTAGTAGCCCAGTCGACGTTTGAGTGTGAAGGTCAGTTGGAGGCAGGTGAAGTTGCCTGCGTTCAGAGGACCACGAATGAGTGAAACTGCAAATCTATTTTCACTTCGCGACGTATCCCATTGGCCTAAAGATTTAGCAATAGTTTTCTCCGTGATTTTTCTTTTTTTCTTGGTTCCGACATGCGATCGCGCATCCCTATTCCGCGATGCACGTTAAAAGACTTTAGACCAGCAGTGGTACTGCACTGGGTAAATTTTTCATATACAGCGGAAGCACCGGACACCTATTGTCCACTGTCTAAGCATACAGACAAAGAAAAATATTACTTTTTCTTTTGATCTCTTTACTTGGTCGATTAATAATTATTGAAAACGTTAAACGAAGCTGCTATGTGGCTAAGAATATAGCTACTATGCAAATTAAAGTAGACCCATTTCAAAACTTCGTCAAGCAACTTTGGCGGCCGCCATTGCTTGGCCACAAAGCGAGTGACTGAATCCGAGTCATCGCCAAACGCTGACGCAGCCCTCGTGTCCAATACATGATTGGAGTGCGTGCCCAAACAGTGGCGGATTCGGATAACTGGTGCTACAGCTACTAGATGGTGCGCACTTTTGAAAACGGTCTGTGCGGAGTGCAAGTTCGTCTGCTTCTTTTGCAGGGGTTATGGTGACGTCAGAACGCCGAGCTCTGATTCGTTCTGAATGAAGGACAGTGTGTAGACTCTAAGGCAGCTTGTTTTGAGGTCTGCCCATTATCCTTTAATCAGAGCTAACCAAAGCTTGGCGTTTTTCCAATGTCACCACAGTCCTGCGCAAGAAGACGACGACTTGCTCTTGGCATTGTAATCCCAAGAATTTGAACCTAATCAAGCTTACTGAGGGAAGGCGATATATAAGCTAATCATTTTTAATGAAATATCTCAAATACAAACGTGTCCTATATGACTGAATATAACCTCACATTATATATGGTCCTCACTTTCTTTGTTAAATTTTAATGTGCAAATAGTTAGCAGCACCGTCCGTATCAGTCTGTTGTCCCTTTCGTCTTTTTATCGTTCCATAGTCCAGGCACGCTATCTTAGCAGGTTGTCTTCATACCAACTTTACGCACATTTAATAGCGCAGAATCATTATTTCAGATCGCTCTAACATTCCCGTGAGAATATATCCTGGTGGAGTCTGTCAGTTACTGAACAAGGCGAGGACACAAAAAGCTGGATGCGGAGTGTTAAACCTAGACAACTTCGTCCTGCAGATTTCTTCGAAACTTTCACTTTATTGAAATACTGCAACAGTGTTATAATCATGCTTTGACGCAACTTCAGGCTCATCGTTATGGTGGAATGTGAACGTGGTTTCTGGTCGTCATACCCGTGGAGTACAGCTCCGTGCAGTCTTGAAGATCCGTCTTTTCGAGGTCAAGCTGTGGTAACTCGAAATCTTTGTGTACCACCAGAGGGTCCGCATCGTTCCACTGGAACACGAGATCGTCTGTCGTGTGGGATACTGAGGAGAAAAAAATGTTAAAATTTGGTCAGTGACTACAAGTAAAGAATAAGGAAGGTAATATGATTGGCGTTTCTGACTATTTATTTTTTGTTTTAGAGTAACTTTTAAATCACGTTCACGCAGGTACGAAATGCGCCTTAAAAACATACTACAGTGTATGTCCAGTCCTTATTCCACGCATGGCGTTGTCCCGAATATATCGGCACAGTAACAAAAATAAATTAATCTGTAACACCAAGCCTTGAATCCTAACCCGCCCTATTAATGCTATGCATTAAGATGACACAACACTGGTGACTTCAACGAAATGCCCAGAGTCTCCCGACAGCGAAACAAAACTTTAAAATATTAAATTTAAGAACCATGTACGTATTTCGCGAACCATGTTCAAGATGCTACACGCAACAGAAGGGCTACGCGCTCGCCAGCCACAAACAAATCTCCCGTGACTGGAACGAACAAACGATGGGCGTCGATAGAGTATAAAATACTGGAAAAAGGCGAAAAGAAGTAAGGATATTCCAAATCTCGCTTTCGAGTGACCCTTACTTATGGTGAACTCCACTGGTAGATCCAGATCGGTTTCCGGAATCCGCGAGGGAGGACGAAAACCGCACTGTAGTACGCGCTCCAAATCGACGAGCGGAGGATGGAGTCGCATTTTCGTAGCGACCCGCAGGACACGGTCTGTGGTTCAAAAGGGCCGCTGCTTAAACTTTCCTGGGCCCAAATTTAATGAGCTGTATAAAATCTCCGACGACCAATCAATACTGCTGCTCTCCATCAGCCGAAAAAACACCCGACAAAGATCGAGCGCCGAACCACAGAGTTCATGTCACAAACAGAGAGGAATAAATCCGCGTTCGCCTTGCGGAACGGCGGGATAAGCAGTGATTTCCAGCGGCGGAGCTCAGATCGCTGGTAAGACATTAATAAGCACACAGAGGAAGTAAGCCGTCACTCGCACGGTCGTTGCCTAGTCTGTTCTTGCTTTATTTCACAAGAAGTCACCGGCGACCTGGAGCGTACAAAGGTAAACAATTAGCTCCGGCAAAATCAGCACGCCTAACCTTGCGTCTGCTTTCTTCTTTGGATTTTCTGTCGTGTTCTTTCTCGTTCTTCCTCTCGGGATCGCTGATGTCAGCGCTTAGGATTTGCCACGCTCCAATCCCGCCTCTACAACCCCTTAACCGTGCGTGTCTGCAGCGTACGAGATGCAATGCACACACCTAACGGACAGCCCATCACCAGACGCGTAAACAACCGACCGACCGGACCAGACCGGACGTGCTCGACCCGCAACGCACATGCGCAGTGACGCGCAGCTGTCGACTTCCGAAAAAATCTCCCGAAGATGACGGAGCGGTGCTTGCACTGCCACAAATCTGCGAGATCTGCGACGTGGAACATGCGCGCTCCAAAAGGGGCGCTTTGGAGCGCTCCAAATCTGCGAACAGAATTCACCTTCAGACTTGCTAACGCGGAATCAGACCGAGGCACTTTATTTTTTATTCGTTTACGCGTCTCAGACTTCAGGTGTATGTCGTGCACACAACCGGTTTATATGCGTCTTGACTATACACCCCTGGTTGTTATTTTTATTACTCTGCTTATGTATCCTATAGTTTCTGACAGGTTAAGAATTCAGAAGAAACTGCTCCCACCTCTTCCCACTTCAGCAGAGCGAGTGCTAGAGAGAAGGCGACCTCCAATCGAGAGTCTGCTCTGCTAAAGTAGGAAGAGGTGGGAGGAGCTTCCCCTAATCCTGTCACCGACTCTAGGTAGAGTTCGTCCCTCAGCCGTACAGCCTTAGGTGGGCGTTGCAGTCGAGGGCTAGTCCACGCATTTGCGTTTAAGTATGATCGACCACCCTACGAACGCTTGCGATGCCCCACGACGATGTGGCGCCATCTATCGAGTGATCCTGGAACGCGTCACACCTGCATATACTTTACGCAGTATTTTTTTTAAAATTAGCTTGACATTATTCCGATAATGCTATTAGAAACCATTTGTTATAGACAGTGCGTAAGTTCGAGCTCGCAAATACTGCAAAACATTGAGTATGGTTATAGGCAAATCGGAAGGGTTCCAGGATGGGCGCCAGTGTGCCGGTGTATTTTCTCGTCCTAAGCGTGCAGATGTGGTCGTAGCCCAGCCGATCACAGTCGAACGTTCAAATATGTAAACCAGCCCCAAGAGTAGCTGGTGCTTCGCGGGACGCGACGATGTGACAGGAACGCTTTGCAAGGACTTAACACTGCGACTGTCTGTATACTCACAGCTTTCCATCTGCATCGAGCATATTTGCGTATCGTGAGGATACGAAGCGAAGTTCATGGCGCAGGACAAGGTCAGTGTCAACCTGGAAACAGAAGGGTGATAAAGCGCGCGTGTCATTGCCGACGCCCAGCCTCTATGATCAAGAAGCGACCTTTTACAATGGTATTTATGGCGAATCCTGCTTGTGAACGTAATGCGCATTCATTCAATGCGACTATTATTTTGAGTAATTTGCACAGGTAGTACACTACTTCATTCGAGCCGCGCTGGAAACTTAAAAGAGCTGTACAACGATTTTAACGTTAAAATTTTTTTCATCTTCTACTTTTGACATTGTTTATCTTGTAATAAAGGACAAAAAACACACCTCCTTCCTTCAAAATGTTGCAATTCCGCCACGTAATCGCGAGGCAACAATTTGAATATTGCCCGACGTGCAGCCGCGAACGGCGGCCATGAGAACCACGCGGAATGACGTCAATGGGGGACTTGTAAAAATATAGAAAGTTACGCAGATACCTGCTCGATAAAAGGTAATTTTTCTATAAATCTTGCCGTTTAATTCAACGTAAATATAAATGGTCACAAACTTAGTATCATTAACCAAACTTTTATTATACGGAGTTTTTGTGGTGCCATCTACCCAAGGTCAACAAAACCGTCAGCTTTATCTGCTACCGCGAACAGCTGCCAGAACTCGGAGGGGGACGGGGGCAGAGCCGGACGTGGATGGCCGGACCCGGACGGGACTTTCCTCCTCTCGCCTTGTTGATCGCGCTAAGGAAGCACGTGGTCTTGTGGTCGCGAGCGGGTGAGTTCTCACTGCTTACTGATGACTCTATAGAGAGAGCTTCACCGGAACCCCGAGAGTCCCCCATTCACGCCACAACGCACGTGACTCGGAAGATGGTGAATGAGTTGAGAGATGCCGAAAACCTCAGTCTTTGTCAATTTCTAAAATAAAAACTAGGATATGCAGGCAAAAAGGTATTTTCTTCTTTACTTCAGAAAGCTCGAGACACCAACTCACAAATTATTTAAGCAAAGCACTGAAATTGTTGCACGGGTCCTGTAAATGCACTTATTTGTTTATCAAACGGTAAGCTTGCTTATGTGAAAACACACATAATTACAATATTGCTCTATTTTCTTTCTCGGTCCTTAATTCAGTTATTAGTGCTCTGAAAACGTTACTGGTACTTTATAATGCACTGCCGAATAATTTAATACAATTGAGCGCATCGCCACGGTCAGATTAGAGTGAAGAGGCGCGTTTTGTTTACGGCCCTCGCATGGGGGATTGCTCGTCCCTGACGACGCAGCTCGATGGTGTCGCTGTGGCCCTACCTTTCCTCAAGCGCTTTTACTTTAGGGGAGGCGACCCAATCTTTCCGTGTTAACCTCGCCGTTCCGAAATCGACCGATCTCACAATCAGTTTCATCATGCCACCGCTGCCGCCATGGGTCGTGGGAACTGTAGTTTTTCTACACGCCAACAACTCCGCTTAGCATGGAGGTAGGAATCTTCAGGAGGCGACTTGACTCCACCAAAGGTGAAGACGGGTGAGACATCGGATTTGGAAGGACACGGGCCCCAGCGATCACCAAAACCGACATACGCTATTGGACGAAAGGAAGTGCTGATTTGGCTCCAACAGCTGTTTGGGTCACGTTAGGGGGTGTTCACACTGACCGTGGCCTCTACTTCCGGTTTCACTTGGGATTTTTTCGTTTGGCTGGCTTGAGCCGGTCCTCTTCCTCTTCCTACTTTCATGCCGCTGAGAGTCTGCGCGAGCACAGCACGATCCAACACGAGCTGTATCGCGAACTGGCTCGTCTCCTTTGAACTATATCTAGGGTGTGCTAAAATGGGGAGGTGGGGCGGCCGTGAGTGTGTTGCGATGTGCAAGCACGCCGGTGAGGACGTTGTGGGGCAGAGCGCGGCATCTTGCGATCGCAGCAGAGGTGCTTTATTCGACGTGAAAAGGGTCGTATTCTTCGTTTTTTTTTTTATGCTCGGTTGTGAGAAAGAATAAGTTCGATCCTATATCTCACACCCCGGTGGTAAAGCGGGACTTGCGCGAACGGAAGGAGCTTATATTCAAAGCGTAAAAGCCGTATAGAAAGTTCTTTATTTTTTTTTTGTTTTGCTGTTATCGAAAAATAATTGTCTATTTCATTAAGAAAGTGAACTTTGAGTATGATATGACATGCAATGATTTGCAGACCTTTAAAAACCCAGTGCGCAACATGCAACTACATTAATACTATATGTGCGTAGCATGGATTATTAAAACGGAGCTTTTATTGGCTGCTGAATTCTCGACCAAAGCGTATTAACCAGAAAATGTCTGAATTGATTTTATCTACTGAGCATGCATCATATGAAAATAAACACCAAGACTGGCAAGATAAGTGGACTGCTGTCTTTATTGAAGAGCAATCCCACTTGGAGAAATTTTTTTTTTTCTCTAAAACCGGGGTCACAGCGCTCCTACATCATATAAAATACCGTTGGAAAACACGAGTCGTGACATATCGCCTCCTCTTGCAATGCCGCGTGCCCAATTTCTCCTTGAGCTCATTGCCACGATGCATTCGAAGCACGGATCTCGCGGTGACTCGCATTCAAATTTGTATGCACACTGTACTTTGTATGATCACGCAGGTCACGTATCCTTCTTAGATATATTTTGGTTCTATGCATCAGTTTTGTTTTTCTCTTCCGAAAAAAAAAATTGGAATCGCATGACGCACTAAACTGTTTTCTTGGAATAAGATCTCATTCCGCGAACAGCCCATAGCCTTCCGAGATTTTTCGCTCTCCTGCTCCGGCCTGTCCAAACGCTCGGTTGCACAGCAAAAAAAATGAAAGCCGCTTACAACTCCCTGTAACGCCGAATTAGAGCGCAGCTCTTGAGGAGGAGGAGGGAAGGGCACTGGGGGGGGGGGGGGGTTAAACTAACCAGGGGGGGGGTCACGTGACCTTGGGGGTCACGTGACCCCCAATGCCGATGATGTCATCACTGACGTCACTGATGACGTCATCAGTGACGATGACGATGCGGGTACCGATGACGTCATTAGTGACGTCACTGATGACTTCACCAGTGATGATGACGACGATGCGAATGTCGGTGACGTCATCAGTGACGTCGCTGATGACGTCATCAGTGACGTCGCTGATGACGTCATCAGTGATGATGACGATGACGATGAGGATGCCGGTGACGACATCAGTGACGTCACTGATGACGTCATCAGTGATGATGACGATGACAATGCGGATGTCGGTAACGTCATCAGTGATGATGACGATGACGATGTGGATGCCGGTGACGTCATCAGTGATGATGACGATGACGATGTGGATGCCGGTGACGTCATCAGTGATGATGACGATGACGATGTGGATGCCGGTGACGTCATCAGTGATGATGACGATGACGATGTGGATGCCGGTGACGTCATCAGTGATGATGACGATGACGATGTGAATGCCGGTGACGTCATCAGTGATGATGACGATGACGATGTGGATGCCGGTGACGTCATCAGTGACGATGACGATGACGATGCGGATGCCGGTGACGTCATCAGTGACGATGACGATGACGATGTGGATGCCGGTGACGTCATCAGTGATGATGACGATGACGATGTGGATGCCGGTGACGTCATCAGTGATGATGACGATGACGATGCGGATGCCGGTGACGTCATCAGTGAGGATGACGATGACGATGCGGATGCCGGTGACGTCATCAGTGGTGATGACGATGACGATGTGGATGCCGGTGACGTCATCAGTGATGATGACGATGACGATGTGAATGCCGGTGACGTCATCAGTGCTGATGACGATGACGATGCGGATGCCGGTGACGTCATCAGTGACGATGACGATGACGATGTGGATGCCGGTGACGTCATCAGTGATGATGACGATGACGATGTGGATGCCGGTGACGTCATCAGTGATGATGACGATGACGATGCGGATGCCGGTGACGTCATCAATGAGGATGACGATGACGATGCGGATGCCGGTGACGTCATCAGTGGTGATGACGATGACGATGTGGATGCCGGTGACGTCATCAGTGATGATGACGATGACGATGTGGATGCCGGTGACGGCATCAGTGATGATGACGATGACGATGTGGATGCCGGTGACGTCATCAGTGATGATGACGATGACGATGTGAATGCCGGTGACGTCATCAGTGATGATGACGATGACGATGTGGATGCCGGTGACGTCATCAGTGATGATGACGATGACGATGCGGATGCCGGTGACGTCATCAGTGACGATGACGATGTGGATGCCGGTGACGTCATCAGTGACGATGACGATGACAATGTGGATGCCGGTGACGTCATCAGTGATGATGACGATGACGATGTGGATGCCGGTGACGTCATCAGTGATGATGACGATGACGATGCGGATGCCGGTGACGTCATCAGTGAGGATGACGATGACGATGCGGATGCCGGTGACGTCATCAGTGGTGATGACGATGACGATGTGGATGCCGGTGACGTCATCAGTGATGATGACGATGACGATGTGGATGCCGGTGACGTCATCAGTGACGATGACGTCATCGGGGGGTCACGTGACCTCAGGGGAGTCACGTGACTTCGGGGGGTCACGTGACCTCGGGGGGTGACGTGACCCACCACGAGGTCACGTGACCCCGGTGGGGGCTCGCGCGGTGCATTATGGGACATTTCCCATGATGCACCGCGCGGTTACGCCGACGGCGACGCCACTCAAGCCGGAAACGGGCCCCTAAGAGCTGCGCTCTAAAAAGCGAGTCCAGCCAGTTCTCTAGATCTCAGCATGTGGCGCTTAGAGCAAAACCAGAAACGGAAGAGCATCGCCTCAAGGCACGCTGTCAAATATGAGCCCGCGACATGAAGCTTGCATCTTTATTGATCTCACATAGCCTCCTCTATACTCAGAAAGCCTGGCAGTTCGATGACGGGGCATAAAGTTCCCGGTCGTAGATTTAGAGCGCGAGGATCTGGTAGCACAAAGCATTTCTCGCGAAGCCTGTAGTCAGCGCACAGCTTTTGCAGTGGCGAGGACCCGAAACATGGTTTTCAAACCCGACAAGAAAAGAAGCGGTAGCCCGAAGAACGCCAGAAGCACGAGCGGACATTCCATTGCACGGGACAAGTGTGTTTCGGTGTCTCGCCGCAGCGGGGCGCCCGTTACATGACTCTTGTCTGCCGCTTTACATTTTCACTTTTGGCGGCGTCGTCACGTGACGATCCGCCAGGCTTTGTCAGTATAGAAAAGGCTACGGTTCTCATCATCAGAATAGAAACAGGTAAGTCTATCTGTGTTAATTTGTAATATTTAGGGGGATCGGTGGCCGAGTGGGCTAGATCACACCAGCTCGAAGCACGTGGAGCGGAAGCTCGCGCTGCAGAACCCAGGGATCCTCTCTTCAAACTTCACCCCTGCCCTTTCGATCTGGATGAGCATCATACAGGCGTGCGTTGGTGGATCACTATTGAGGGTTGCACTTCAAAGACCCCAAGGGGGCTATGTTGCACATTTTGGACTCCCAGGCGACTAGGGAGAAGGAAGTGACGTAGGTGTGAATAAACGTATCTCAGCAGCACCAGGCAACGCGTCATCAGCGACTCCATCAATCAATATCCAAAGAGCGTTGCTGACGTAACTTCCTTCTCCCTATAGTCTCCTGGGAGTCCAAAACGTGCAACATAGCCCCCCAGGCTAGCGGTTGGACCGCACTAGCTAAATTGCTCGTCTAGGGTGGGCAACAATGTTGCCATGTTCTGGCAGACTAAGCGCCTGCAGTATAAACAACTAACGAGATATATTTTTTTGCTGTTTTAGTTTGTTTTTTCTTTGATTCACGGTTGGGCAGTATCGCGATACAAGTGTACCACAATAGTATTTTACATATACTTTGAGCATTTATATTTTTGTATCACGAAACAATTTTCCAATCAGTATTCGTGTTTCAGTATCGAAATATATTTTTGGTGTATTCCTTGTATCGCGATACAATACCGGGCCAGTGTATCTCGGTACAATGTTCGATAAATCAGTGACCCCCCAGCGAGAGCTCAAGAAACTGTTTCTTTTCTTTTTTCTGCTCCAGAGGGATAGAGGGTACAGTAAATATGGCTTTGAAACTTTGTTTTTATGCAGACAAAGGTTTGTTTAGAACATTATCACCACAACATTGGAGACTCTCTTCTCTATTTTTCAAGGATAACATGTCTTTCTGAATGATTCAGTTGGGCAACTATTGTCGTCGGATCAAAACATTGAAGGCGCTGAGTGTACGAGCTTTACAAGTTTACATTGTACTCCCAGTCCCATTTACTAGAGCGAGAGTAAATATTCTTTTTTCAGATCATAAAATAAAACAACAGAATTTCATTCCAAGGTGACATGTTGAAATAACTGCAGAAAAAGCACGGACATGGCACTAGAGGGTGCTGATATTTCGATGATATCTGGATATTTATAAAGCATATTTTAAGGCGAATACGATATTGCTTAGAATGCGTTCAACGCATTTAAAGGAGAACTGCTCTTAAGTCTGGAGGGAAAGTTTTTTTTTTCATCTATTGAGGACCCCATTAGTTCTCACAGCTTCATATTAAAAGAAAAACTGCAATTTTGTGCGAAAGTAATTTTGGACTCGAGAGTTATTGTCTTCACTGGAGGACTCCTTGTTCACATTAGAAGTACAAACCCTGTCAACGAAGACTACGTGCAATGCCAACGAAGCAAGGTTAGAGCGTAAACTAAAAGTCCGACACAGTGTCGACCAATCAGCACACCTTGACGTCACAATATTCGAAACAACATTTAGGGAGTGAAAGAGAAGCGTCCAATCTCGAAGCAGCAATGATCGCAAATACGCAGTTTTCTCTGGTTTGGAACGCGCGTTCGTTTCTTCTACCGTTGAATATGGATGTGACGAAAACCTCACATGGGCCAAGTTTTCAATCACCAAGAGTAATACATTCATAACTCTAGCGACGCTAAAACGGCATAGATTAGTCGAGTCGCGTTTTTAGACCTCACGACTACGCGCTACGGGCTTTTCCGCGGCCTGCGGTTGGCCACGAGATGCTCGCCTGTTCAAAACAATGAATGGCCAAACTCTCCCAATATACGGCTCTGGTTAGGTTTGGTTGCGAGCGCCACCAAGCGCCCGCAGTAGCAGTCTCTATCGTTCGAATGTAATAGCCTGGGGAGCGCAGCCAACGCGAGAAAAATCCCCCTATGCTAGTACACCCTACTATGATTAGGGCGGCGTCACGGATCCGTGGAGGGCGTAGTGAGTTCGGTCTATTGATTTAGAGAAATTTGCACATTATACTCCGCACCAACTATTTCCTGCTACGTTTTCAGGGCTAGCGTAACTTTCACAGTTCTGCAGCCCCAAACTGCGGCGAGAGCAAGTGGCTCCGTTTAACGTCTCATTCGCATGCGCTGGCGCAATTGTCTTTCACGTAGTTAGAGCACTGGGGTTCCAACAATAGCCTTGACAAAGTAGTACAAAATAGTTTCTTCTAAGTATACTTAGGAAATGGGGTTATGAGGCCGCCTGCCTGCCGGGACTTATGCTGTCCGCCTCTTTCTCCTCGTCTTCTCAATAAGCGCTTTTCTACTATAGCAAGCAATTATTTATAGCTTGAAATTTTTTTTCATCAACACTACAGTTGATTTCAGTAAATAATATTGGCATAGACTTTCAATCACGGTTATTGGAACAATTCTTAATGGTGGCTTAGGCAGGAGTGGGAAAGGGTAGCGTGGTCGCACCACCACGCGGCTGGACAAAAGCCAGTTGCTCCTAACGAGAACAAAGGCCCTAAGGAAAGCCACTCCCCAGCCCGGCCGTGGCTTTGAACATTCTTAGTGAAAGTGCCTCGCGTGGCCAGCTTACTTGACCATGTAGAAGATGGTCTTGTCCTGGTAAAGCCATATGTAGTGGTTGGGCACCGTCATTGTCTGGAATGTGACCTGCTTGGCGTTCTTGAAGACGCAGTCTGGGCGCCACATACGCTTGAGCCAGTCCACCTCCAGCAGCCGATATTTTGACGTCATGTTTTCGGGAAGCTTCAATCGGTGATCCTTCCAGCTTTGTGCGAAGAAAATATCCGCAGCGTATGTCTGAAAAAAGAAGATCATAGTAAATATGGAGGAGCCATCTAAGATAAGACAACTGCGTATCAATGAATTCTTTTGTGTTGTAGTATAGTTCTGTTTCCGGATGTCTTTGTAGCGTCGCCTTCCTCCAGTGGCTGATCAAATGAAGTATTGATAAGAACGGAAATTTAGACGAATAAATGACACTAAAGGTGTATACAAAAAGAAAGATTAAGAACGTCAGAAAAACGAACAGGTTAGCCTGGACCAATTAATCGCCTAAGAATGGCCACTCGTACTCGGTATAGGAAAACTCGAACTTAAAAAGAAAAATAGGAATAAAAAAAAAGAAAATGAAAGATTATGGTAATTACAATATCGGTATCAAGGTACATATGGTCCATAGCAAGTGACAGTTTAAAAAGCGCAATGCGTGGCTTAACATCTTCACGCTCCTCATTGGCTAATGCCAATAAGACTGGCATTTTGATTGGCTAATGCCACAATCTCATTGGCTGCGGTGCGATAATGAGATGCTCGAAACTTGTCCCGCCCTGTGTTTCTTAAGCGGTCACTGATTCTAGGTGAGACGGCGAGGGCAGGATATGATCAATATTTTGTAGCTTCGGACTTTGACTCAAGTCAAAGTCTGCAGCAATCCCGAGTTTAATCCACGAGTTTAATCCACGAACATCAAAGCTAGTAACCCATAATAATAATGAAAAAATTCAGCCTTTCCACTTCGGTAAAGAAGGAAGAGCAACATAGCTGTGCTATGTGCTGCCATCTATGAGCGACGGCGGTAACCAGACAACTGGCAAGCTTGTTGTCTGGTTGCCACCGTCGCTCATAGATGGCGGTAGCTGTCCAGAAGGTTGTGTCGAAATTTATTTGTTCACGTACATGAAAGTGGGGAAACTAACCCTTAACAGCTGCGTCGTGAAAAATCAAGGCCATAAAAACATCCCTTTTAAAGATATTTATCTGTGGGCTGAGGTCCATGGACAGTCTTTCTTGTCCCGACTGATAACCTACGAAAGGTGCATTTGTTTAATATTAAAGCACCAGCAATCTCAGAAAAGGTGTAAGAAAAACGTACCACATGTACCATGTACCACATACCCCTAAGCGAGCAGTCATAGCAAGCAGGGGCCGCGTGTTCTAGTTCCGATTATATGACTCCTGTTTTTCATTAGACAAACACAAGTGTTGAAAATGCGCAGGGCACGTGTCGCGCTTTGTACATTGTTAGAGTTTTGCTCTTCCTACGTTACCACAGCGACCAAATACAAGATAATATGATGATCGCCAGCGGATATACTGTAACGCCGTCCAGCCAAGCTCTAACGCTGTGCTCGTGTCTGATCTACGTCGACATCGTGATTCCAAAAACTGCCAATGGCCCATGGTTTACGTGATCTCAATAAATTTACATTTCTCGAGACATTTTTCACCCGTGACAATAAACCAGTGCCCGAAATCCTAGCCCCTAGCGATGAAAATGGGAAATAATAACCTAAAACGCAGGCTCTTGTTACGAAAGGGGCGGCGCATAAAACAATATATATTTTTTTTTACTTTTTTACAGAACTCTTGGAATTTGCGTTGTTCTTGAAGCTTCGTGACTATCTGAGGTTTTTCCACTACAATATGTGCGAAAAAAAAAGGAGTTTTGCAAAAGGCGCGGTTCCCCTACTATGTCATTGAGTCAACATAAACAAACAAAGCGGCGCCCATGGGACAGAGCATATATGTGCTCGTACCCTGCCCGCGTCGTATCTGTAGCCAGATGAATTAAATTTAGCACTCTGACCAGAGTCAGCGAGCGGGCGCACGGGAAAACCTGAAGAATATATTCCCGTCTCCTCCGCCGTCTTGAAGCTACCGCACTGCCCTCTATGGATCCTTTGCAGCAGCTGTGCCTCAGCGCCGCCTCAAAGACCGACGACCAGTTCGCACTATCTACTTTTCCTCCGCTTCCTCCTCTCCCCCTTCTATCCTGTCCACCGTTGCCTGTTTCCTCCTTCCCCGGGGTGAGGAGGATCGTCTGCCTTGCAGAATCTCGAGTCTGGTCGTCGGCCTTTAACCAACCTCCAGTTTCTTTTTTCCTCTTTTTGCGCTTACCACACTTCATCATTATTATAACAGGCCAGATAATTGTCGTATTATTAGATTTTATAGTGTCTTTCCCCTCAACATCGGCCTTTGTGCTGGCTTGTCAACGCCCGCTTCAGTGGCTCGGCATTTCGGTAAGACAAGAGAAGGTGAGCAATGGCGGCTGTAATCTGGCGCGTGTGTAAAGCCTCTACAGGGCGTCGGGTTTGCAAAGAGACTATTGTCTTTGGAATGATTCGATACTTACTTAATTGAAGACAGACAAAAGCAAAGGCCAAAGAACGACAGCTTGAAAGAATGAAGAGGTTGTTTTGATTTGGACGATAAATGTACACAAATATGCGCGCCTTCCATATAATAGCCGTGACATACTGCGCGCGCGCACGGGTACCCAGTTTTAAGGAGTGAACCATCTGCATATGACACCGCATCATTAGAGAGTTTTAGCTTACCGCGTATCGGGCGACCGCCGGGGTTACCGCGACCGCGACCATCGAGCCGGTACCGGACCGAGAGCGTAGCGGGTAAAGAACGTTTTAGCATACCGTAACCGCGCCTGACCGCGCCTATGGAAGTTTCTTCTTTCTCCAACGGCTGGAAAAAGTCATGATGATGATTGTGGCAACTGGTAATTTATTGGAGCGCGCAAATGAATAGAAAGCTTATTGGAACGAATGCAAGCCAAAAGAAAAGGTGAAATTGGTCGTTGTGTGAATATTTACACAGCGCGAGGTTAGTCTGCCTGAATTTGGCGATACTGTTTCTTCGCTGTAGATGGGCAGTGTGGCCAGTGCGGTACGACCGAAAACCTGGAGTCTTTAACGTGCACCACCAGTCATGGTTATACGAACGCAGCCGGTACGATGCTCGTCCAGATGGAACCGGGCAGGGACGGGGGATTTGAACCCAGTGCTCTGAGTTCTGCAGCGCGAGCTTTCGCTACACGTGCTCCGAGCTGTGGTGCGTTAGCCCACTCGGCCACCGTTCTCCCACGAATGCAAGCAAACAGGATCATCCTGTACGCTGCTTGTTTGCATTCGCAGCTCCATTGCCATCAGCACCAGTCTCTAATGTCGGCTAGGTGGCTCAGGTTGCCGCCCGAAACAAGGGGCATAGCAGTTACCATCCATCTATTCAACCGGCCTGTCCGGCGGCCATGGAAGCCCGGATTTTTGCTATGGACCTCGCGTAGGCGAAAGCCTTTATAGGCCAACCAGAGCCGCTTCACTTGCCCTTTCCCATGTTATGTGGTGCGACGATTGTTTCTAGACGCCTCCCCCGCCATTCCAAAACAGTAAGTGATTAGTCTACGCCGGCCGTCGGAGCCGATGCCCGGCAGTCGCCATTGACGGTAAACGCGGTAAACCGAGTAGCGTGGCATAATTGGCGCATGCGCAGTTCTGCAGTGACGGTCGCGGTAACCCCCCGGTCGCCCGGTAGGCGGTAAGCTAATACTCTCTATTGACTCGGAATGACGCTAGAGACATAACTTGCAATATGGTTAGGTAGTTTCGGTAGCCAGTAACCTAAGTTGACTACGCGTTTATACTTACCATTGATTCTTCATCAATGGAGTCCAGACTCATAACTGTCACGTGAAACTGCACCACTGTCGGCCGTCCTGCGAAAATAATATCGAAACGTTATTTTTGTTCACATCGAAATTTCCTTTTACATTTGCATGCTAGTGGGCGGGCAAGGAGATGCAATTGTAAATATCACATGGGCTGGCTGACTGTAATCAGCGTGTTTGGTTAGGTTGTGTGAAAGAAAACCTGACAAGCCCGGGGCGAGCGAGCGCTTGAGTCTTGACTTTTCCTGCCACTCCGTTCGCGCGCGAGCTTTGGTGGTGTTTTCTTTCACACAGTCTTAGCTGAGACCTTGATTCTAGCAAGTCGGCCTTGACATCTTCACAATGAATTTTGAAAAGTTTGATCTAAGGTAATGCCGATGTCATATACGCAAGGGTCCCGGTCCTCGGCCTTTTTTAATACGAAAGCGTTAACTGTCCCATGGAGTGAGCCGACGTCATCAGCTTTGGAACCGCGACAGAGGCCGCGCCAAACAGCAGCTAAACTTCCCTCTCCCAATGGAGCTAAGTGATTCTGCGATCTGAAGCCTCCCAGCGTTGAAGCCGCGCAAAAAGCCGCGCAAAACGGCAGCTAAATTCACCTCTCAAAACAAACCAAGTGAAACCGAAATCTGATGGATAGGCTGCCATTGGCAGGCGCTCGTCATAGTTTCAAGAACGAAGCTCCCATTGGCCGCCGCGTGTCAGTGTCAAGGAGTGCCACCCCATGGCGCTGCGGGCCCGCGCCGCCAGCGCGCCGGGAAAAAGAATCGACTGGCAGCGGGGCTCCCAAAACCCGCTGGGGCAGACTCCAGAGCAGCAGGACAGCCGATGTCAGCGCGGCGCGGCCACATCACGAGAGCGCGCGCAAGAACGACATTCATGCTTTCGCATTCACAACTCATAAGAAGTGCTTAGGCGTCCCTCGAGCCTTTTTTTTTTTCTTAATAGTAAAATATTAGTGTGTTTTATCAAAATAAGAAAGACTTCCGTTTATTCCTATTGTGCACTCGGACACCTAGATCGCCAATAAAAAAGAGTGCTTAAGTAGAAGACTATCTTCCTTAGTGTGCTAGACTTCGCCTCACCTCTGCCGTTTTGATCTTGATCAGCATCGTATCGGTGTCCAGTGGTTTATCACTACTACGCGATGCGCTTTACATATCCCAGGCTAGCAGTCACCCTGCATGCATTGGAAATATGTCATATCTACATCGGAGACACCAAACGCTCATTGGGGCTGACTTGCATACCGACGACTAAACATACATAAAACAAAAATACTTTTGCTAGACTTTGTATATGCCCATGGACAATATACGATTACCTGGCCGGAGCAACCGGAGTCTGTATCCTAATAAACTATTTAGCATTTACAGCGATGTATCGTTACACCACTGTTCTCACAGGAAGGCGTCCACATTGTAAACTGTCTATAATAATAAGAAAAAAAAAACATGCATGCCTTTACCCAGTTCATACTCCAGAAACGTGGTCTAATCCGGATTTTATATTAACGGTCTTCGTAAGAATGAGAGGACTGCATTTATACAGGAAGTTTTTCTTTTTCTTTAATCCAAGGAAAAAAAATAGTGTAACTGTACAGGCGATAGTGCTACAGTTATTGTGTTTTTCTTAATGATAAGAGCGACGTAACTGTGAATAAAAACCGCATCCTAGTTACACCCCTTAATTGCTTCCCACAGGAGATAAGAATAGGAAGAAGAAATGAATAGCCACCGTGACGTCATCCTCGGTATCACGTGACCCTTGCGCTTCTTTCAGCTGGCCCAAAGATGTCGACGATGACGTTGTAACTTCTTTATTTTTTTCCCAACAAAACAACTCTTTGAAAGTTAACCATGAGAAAAAGGTAGCGAAAACAGTTTGAGTGGCACCTGGCCACCCAAACAAGCGGACGTGATGCAGGCAGCAAAGGAACTTATACAACGATAAAAAATGTTTAATAACTTATACAATGATACCAAAATGAGAAATCTAAATTGCTAGTGAACGCCCACACGAGAGAAACAACACTATAATAGAGCAATAGCACAATGAAACAACCAACAGAATCGTGAATGCCTAGTGTACATTCGAACTCGGATTTAAACAAAAAATTTAAACAAACAAACCACGCTTTTGGCCGGGAGTAGGTGGTATAAAGGCTCGCGGCACGCCAAGTAGCAGTTATTTTATGATGCTGTCCAACATAAAGTCAGTTTACGTGAAATGTATCTCAATTTTAAGTTGATAAACAAATTTAGGAGACGAAATCAATAAAAGGGGGCTCCTAGCTAATTTCTTAAAATTCTTCAACTTCCCTTTAGACAGAGCTTCGCATCTGAACCACCTAAAATATTAAATTAAAATTTTACATAGATCTTCAGCTTGCGCTTGAAAGAGTGGCCGTACCTCCTTTCTTCGGCGGGAAGGACTTGTCGTATTGGTCTGGGTCGCTGGGCAAAATGTCCCTGAGGGTCAGGTCACACCGAGCGCTCCTGAAACATTTTGCGTCCTGCTGTATTAATAAGTTAATACAATGACAGTAAATGTAAATAATGCACGTGGTTTTGAAGTGAGTGGCATTGTGATATTGTTCATCGACACCTCTTATATAAGTAACACTTTTTTTTCAAGAATCAACGAGCGTTGTGTTTGTTCGCGAATTAAAATTAGGCCACGCCATTTGGCGGCGCTCACTTGAAGCGGAGTAACGGAAAGTTAGCGCTTAGAACGTAACGTACAGATTGGGATCCCATACGGTTGATCGAACGCCATTTCATCGAAAAAGTTTCAGAGAATGGACACGTTGTATCGAAACTCGGTTTAGCGAAAGCGAAACCTCAGTTTAGAGAAACGCCGTTTATCGCAAAGGGGACGCTATTTAAAAATGAGACTTTCTACTTCGCGCGTGTATCACTGGGCTACGTTTTAACTACGGGGTGTCTTAAGTAGTGGCCAGGCTCTTTAAATCGACCGCGAAATTCGGTTTCTTAACCTATAGCGCTACGATATTGTGCAGCGTTGCCGCAGGTGCTGCATTTTTTCTATAAAATTTGCAAAGCGCGAACTTACCTGGGGAAAAAGTAAAGAAGGAAAAAGGCTTAACTCCTAAGGGAATTCAGCGAAGCCACCGGTTTTGAATCAAGAGAGCGCCCTTTTGTTTCAAGACCGGTGGCCTCGCGGCATTCCCATAAAAGTTAAGCCTTTTTCTTTTTTTACTTTTTTCCTAAAGCAAGTTCGCTCTTTGCATATTTCACGGAATGAATGCACCATCTGTGGGCAACGCTGCACAAAATCGTAGCACGATAGGTTAAAAAATTGAATTTGTCGGTCGATTTAAAGAGCCTGGCCGCTACTTGAGACACCGGATATACCACTGGGGCGCGTGGTGACAATCTGCGGCGGCTCATTACAAAAATGTTAACCCACCTGGCCTCCCGTACAAACAGCTTCGCGGCGGCTATATTAGCTAAAAAGAGGCTCATCGCCAATTTTCTCTAAACTTCGTTTCTCTGTCAGGGAATTTTATAAACGGGGGTCTCTGAACCGGCGTTCAATATAATGAACTTCGCTAAAATGCAGGCCTCCAGAGGCGAACACATAATTTCTTCCAGGCAAATGGCTCGCCAATTTTAACCTGTGTAGGTTACCTCTGGATGCTGAAACCATGATCGCAATCTCGACAACGACACGATTCTCAGGGTAGCGGAGCCCCTTTAACGGGAACCTATACATTTATTCAGCATTGAAACGCGGAAGCGTACAAATGAAGCCAGAGGCAGTTAAATAGTTGACGTGGGACGCTAGGCTTAGTCCAGTCCCGCTACGAAGACAAGCACCGGCATAGCGCTTCCGAATGCGTGTGCTTGCGACAGTTGTTTGCTGCAAACTACGCCGGTTGAGGATACCTTCTGCTAAAACACCTCGGTGAACGCGAAACGACTCATACTCCTAAAAAACAGGCGAACTCAACGTGGTACTCAGTGTGTCACACGTTTGCCGCGAACTCCGGCAGCCATTTTTGTTCTGGTTTGAAAGCCAAGCGAAAAAGACGATCTTGTGATACTATTGAAAGCAATACTCTATCTATAGGGTGTTTAAAATAATCAGGCTCAATCTAAAATAGGCTGTAAACACCGGCGCCTGCACGTAGCAATCTAAACTTTCCTTGAAAGGTGTATTTCACAGCTCGGTTTTATCTTGTAAAATTACAAAGTGTAGCTCCCTTTCTAGAAAAAAAAAAAAGGAGAAAAGAGGCCAAAAAACTTGCCAGGGTCAACGGCGTACGGCGACGTAGGCGACCGAGTAGAGCGGCGGTTTGCGTTTGGCGCAAGTATTGATAGATGGCGCTACCTCCGTATTGACACTGCTCGCGAAGACCGTGCTCTATTAAAACGATCACAATGTTTTTGTAGCGTACCTTTGGTCTAAAAATAAATGTAGACAAAAAAATCGCCAAAAAACAACAACAAAACACGTGGTTGCATAACGACGGCGTTTTTTGTCGCGGGCGGAATACGCCTGCGTGTCGTCTGCTTTCTTTTGCTGGTCGGCTACACTTTCCGACGTTACTCTGACGCTGCTCCCGAGCCATCTTTCGATGCGTGCGCCAAACGGGCCCCACCTCTCGACTTCGTCGTCTGAGTTGCCGTCCGCCGTTGACCCTGGCAAGTGTTTTTGGCCCCATTTCTTACAGACGGGAAGTTTCGCTTTGTAATTTTACAAAACGGAACCGACCTGTGAAATACACCTTTGACGAAACGTTAGATTGATACGTGCAGGCGCCGATTTTTACGGCCCATTTTAGATCGACCGTGGTTATTTCATACACTCTCTATATAATTCATTTCTCAAACATAAAAAAGTCGAATAAAAGAATGCCACGGCACAGAGAAACAATTTTACAACAAACATTTCACACGTCAATCCAACCAATGAGAGCCTAGAAAACGTGCTTAGTTTTCTAAGCACTGGGCGAGGCCTAGCAGGTCTACACCCTACTAAATTTCGTCTAAAAGCGTAAAAATTACACCAAGTATTTGTTT